ATAACGCCAACTACTAGGTAAAATACTAGCATGCAAGCTAGGAACAGAAAAAGACAAAGCAGGTGCAGGTGATGTAGGTGGAGGAATTGGTGAAACTGGAGGTGGATTGCCAAGATAATACGGTCCATCTTTCTCATGTCCCCTGATAATAATCTTCCTGGTACTCGAGTCCTGCAAATAACACGAATCAGATAAGAATACAATCGCATAGTGAAAATTTTTGGCTAACTGATGTACAGATAATAGATTCATGGCCAACTTTGGCGCATGAAAAATCGAATGTAATGTAAGGCCATCTGGGAGGCGGACTGTACCCCTACTAACAGGGGCATGTGTCCCATCTACTAATTGAACCTGTGTATGTAACTGCTTGTCAAAAGTGGTGAAGTGATGGGCCTCACCTGTCATGTGACCATTCGCACCCGAGTCCAACATCCAAAGGGGAAATGAACTGGCACAAGCGTGAAAGACACGAGGTATACCTGTAGTGGTGACAGCAGTAGTAGTCAGACTCTGAGAAGTCAGAGCAGACATAAGTATATCTAATCGGGAAGTGATAGCATCTATATCACTCTGCCAAGGTAGAGTAGTAGCAGCAGGAGTAGCGGTAGTGGGTGGTGATACCTCAGCAATAGCAACAGTACGGTTGCGAGGAGGCGGCTTAGGCTCTAGATGGAGCTTCCAGCAAGTAGTCTTGAGATGTCTTGGTCGGCCACAATAATCATATTGACGGGAATCCCCCTGTCTGTACTGATCTGGGGCACCCTGACGGCGCTGATCCGAACGCTGCCCACCCCTGACTAAGGATCCTGAACGAGACCCTGCAACAACTGCAAGGGCCATCTGGTCAGCCGAATGAGTCAAAGCCGCAACTGGAAGTGATGCAATACGGACTCGACGCTCATACTGCTCAATCATCCAATACACCTCATAAAAAGAAGGAAGTGTGAACATCTACAAGATCTGAGAACGAGGTCCCTCAAACTCATCACGAAGCCCCATAAAGAACTTGTGAATCCTATCTTCCTGCTCTTGAGTATGCAAGATGCTGCTCCTTCGGGCTCTATTTTCGGAATAGCATCAAGAGGACGTAGAGTCTCATACTCAAGCCAGCGCTGGGTCAAATAGCCATAATAATCCTAAACGGTCATATCTCCCTGTCGAGCATATAAGAGCTCCTGAGAAAGCTCATAAACACGAACTCCCCGTCCTGACTGAGAATACATCTCTGATAATGTGCTCCATAGTTTCGGAACAGAACTATGAAACTGGTGGATCCTGCAAACAGATGGCTCCATTGAGCCATATAACCATCCAAGAATGGCACAGTTCTCAGAAAATCACGCAGAATATCCAGGGTCAGCATCAGCTGGCTTTGGGTGAGATCCCTTCAGCCAACCAAGCTTCCCTATACGACCTAAGAAAAGTTGGAATGAGCGAGACCACCCAGCAAAGTTACAACCATTCAACAACTGTGCCATAACTTTCTGAGAGATCATACCCGGTAGTACTGGTAATGCAACTGTGCTAGTAGGTACTGTACACTGGTCAAACATAAAAGTGAAAGTACCCATAGATGTCTCAACGGTAGAGGTGTCAACAATAGGGTTCTCAAGTCTCTCAGTAGTAGCCATATCAACAACAATACTAGGGCACCTGTGACAGAAAAACAACTCTAAGATAAATAGAGGAATAAAATAAGGGAGAACAATATACCTTCAGTCGAACAGTAGCGACAAATAAAGAAGGTCCAAAAAGCTCCCAAATAATCAGGTCACGCTGCCCAGAAATCTAAAATATATAAATAAGTGATCTACTGTATCAAGGACAGATCAACAGAAAAGAGGATTCAACCCCTCTTAAAAGGGCGGAAAAAGAGGGTAGTGGCGCAAAGATATGGCAACACTACGGCAAAGAATGTGTAGCACAAAGGTAAAACACGAAGCTACGAGAAAGAGCGCGATTCGACAGTGGGCTGGTTTGCTGGCCGTATGTTTGGTTTGCTGGTTTGTTGTGGGTTTTGGGTGCAGGGTGTGTTATGTTTGCGGTGGGGCAATATGTTTGAGAAGGCAGCTGGTGCAATTTGGAATTGCTGTTTGGGTATGTTTGTCGGTGGGGCAATATGTTTGAGGAGGCAGCCGGTGCAATATAGAGTTGTTGTTTGGGTATGTTTGTCGGTGGGGCAATATGTTTGTTGGTGGGTATTTTTTTCTGATTTGGTGAGGAGTTCTTTGCTGGTTTGTTAAGCAGTCGGTGCAATGGGTTATCGAAGGCTGTCGGTGATGGTGAGGAGTTCTTTGCTGGTTTGTTGGGCAGTCGGTGCAGTAGGGTGAGGCTGTCAGTGATGGGCTGGGTTTAGGATTTTCGGTGGCAGGCTGCTGGTCTGAGTTCGCTGGAGTGAATCTGTGCCGACTGACTGATTTGGTTGGTCTGGGCAGTCGTGTGTTAGGGTTAGAGTTGGTGGCTCTGATACCAACTAGAAATATTTGTGAGTGAGTGAGATACAAATTAAGTGTAGAGCCCCCGTATATATAGTCAATGAGAGTTACAATAAGGACAAAGAGGTAAAAAAAAAAAAAAACTTAATAAAACCCTAATAAACTAGGCTGCTGCTATATCTCTAACAGTGTGCTTAGGCTCTAGTTTTGATCCAGTTCAATTCTCAAGTGTTCCAAACATTAGTGTGTGCTAGGAAACATGTCAGATAACATAATTTAACTATGATTTAAATTTAATCCGTGGAATTGGATCACATGCAAGATCATATTCTAATATTCAACAATTCAAGTTCTCAATATGTAATTCAATTATGCATGATAGATAGGCTCAAAAACATGCTTTGCAAACGATATACAACAAAGAATAAGCAACACACGATACATTGTGGTTTGGCCAACCCCTTAGCCTACATCCACTCTTCCACCACCTAGGTGGGAGTCACTCCACCAAATGGGATTGTAAGCCAATCTTGTGGATTACAAAGGATCAATCCACTAGTCCACCTAAAATAGCCATTGCAAGGCACCACTAAAGGATGTGGTGAAGGTTTTCGTAAGATCCCCTACAACCTAACTCGGAAATTATTTTATGTAGGATTTGTGAAGGTGTGCTACAGTCCTATGTGGCATGTAAGAATGTCCTCAATGATCACACTTACCATTACAAGCTTTGGCCAAGGATGTGCTCTTCACAGTGAAAGCCAGGCTCGATTTGGGTGGAAGGGAAAAATAGTCATTTTTCCCTCCTTTCTACTTTTTCTTCAGTGTGGTGGATGAAATCCATCAAATTTCATCTACTAAGATAAAAGGGTATTCATAAGCTGAACTTCAATGAATAGCTTAACAGCTAGTTTTTGAACTGCCAAACAACCTAACCTAGAACTACTATCTCTATCATCCTTGAAAGTGTTCTACGGCCCTGTGTGGAATGCAAGAGTGTCCCTAATACACAATTAAGGGAAGAGGATCACGTCCACAGTGAGAAGCTTTGACCAAGGATTTGCTCTTCACAGTGAACCATAAGCTCTCTTTTTGGGAGGAGGGACATAATGGTCTTTTTGCCCTCTCTCTCTCCTAGGTCTTCACTGTGGTGCATGAAGAATGGACCCCAATATCCATCAAACTTCATCTTTTAAGATGAAGAGGTATATATAGAGTGAAGTTCAATGGTTAGTTCAACAGCTAATTCTTCCCTCTGTCCGAAAGTCAGCAAAAGGCCACCAGCTTCAAGCACAGGCCAGTCCAGACCTAGGAAAGTGTGTCTAACCTACAAAGGTGATCACTTAGATTTAGACACTACTCCCTTTGAGGTTGAAGTCTTCCAAAAATTCTGAAGTTTGGCTCACGTACTTTGATCTGTGCTGTTGCAAGGAAGTTTCCAAGTTTGAGGCTTGCATCCAAACTCTTCCGAATCATGCTTTCGTCACAAATTGCAATACAACATAAAATTATAGTACAAGTCAGGAAATTGTTAATCTGTCCTAGAACTAATAATCCTTTTTGGCAATTTTCATGACAAAACTTAGATATGCAATGAGTATATGAATGGCCTACTCTACTACATAGACACCTCTACCACTGTGATGTCATCAGGTTCAAGCTGTGCGAGACTGCCCCCCCTAAAGCAATACCTTTCTGCCCTTTTTTGTCAAGAATTGCTAAATACCATTGTTTGTTATTTTTGTTTTATTTTTACCCTAAATACCATTTTATTTTATTTTTTATTGTTTGCTATTTTTTTTTTTGAATGGCATAAGTTTGTTATTGTCTCTATCTACTATTGTAGATTTAAAGCCTGGAGAGAAAGCCTTAGATTGGCCAACAAGAAAACGTATAGCTTTTGGTGCAGCCCATGGCCTGGAGTACCTGCATGATCATTGCAACCCTAAAATCATACACCGTGATCTAAAAGCTGCGAATATCCTCCTAGATGATGATTTTGAAGCTGTTCTTGGAGATTTTGGGCTAGCAAAAGTGGTTGATACAAAATTAACACATATTACAACACAGGTCCGTGGAACTATGGGGCACATTGCCCCTGAATATCTATCAACTGGAAAATCATCAGAAAAGACAGATGTGTTTGGATATGGTGTAACTCTTCTGGAACTAGTTACTGGTCAGCGTGCAATAGACTTCGCTAGGCTGGAAGAAGAGGAAGACGTTCTACTGCTTGATCATGTAAGTTCTTATTGAGCTAGCCCAATGCTTGATTCAAACATTTTGTTTGTTGTGCTGTTTTTTCATTCATTTTTTTTTTGTCACACAAGTTCTTATTGTTGTAGCCCAATGCCGGATACAAACATTATGTTTAAGAAAAACTATTTTTCTTATCTTTTTTTACCCATCAAGATGTTTTCTAGCCTTGAGAACAGTCACCAATTCTCTTATGCACAGGCAGTCCTCTCGTCCTAAATCTCCTGGGCACCGGGCGTTGTTATTTTTTTTCTGGGTGGCAGAAACAAGCAAGGAACCTAAGTTCAATAATGGTTTCTATAACGGATGCAGGTGCGTGGGTGACCAACCTTATTTGTGGGGCCCAAGTTTTTTATGATGGACGTGACTCAGTTTTCTCATTATAAAGAGCCACTTTGTTCTCTACTCATCCTTATCCTAATGCTTCCCTTCTTGCTCAAACAAAACTCCCAAGGTCATTGCACATTTCTCTTACAATCAACCTCACTGCACATATTTCTCCCTCCCTCTCTCCCTCCCCTTCTCTCTCTTCCCATCCCCTCCCTCCATCCCTCCCTCTTTTCTATCTTGCGAATTCCTTTGCATTCTCTAGAAAACTTAGTTTTTGTGGAAAATTAGAGTTCTAATCCGTATATTTCATTGCCAACGGTAAACTCCTTAAATTTACAGTTGAAACAAATTCTTGTGTAGTAGGATACGGGGAGAGAATTAGAGGCTGAGGTGAGCAACATGGAAGGAGGGAGAACGGGTCAGTACTTTCCACAAAAGAAATTCAGGGTGGCTTTCTATTGATCTGCTAAAAAATAACACCCAGTTTACTTCACATGAATGAGGGAGGGTCTGTTATTGATTTCTTCTGGGTATTAATTAGTGTAATTACACATTATGGCACATGTTTTCGGCTGCGTATTACTTATTATGATTACACATTCTTGCACGTGTTTTGGTGGGCTGTTTTGTTTTTCTGTTGGTCAGAGATGTCAAGGCATGCTTGTTGGATGTAATGTCTTTTGTATGCCAAGTAACTGAAATTGTTTACATATGAATCATTCAGATCAAGAAACTGCTGAGAGAAAAAAGGCTCGAGGACATCGTAGATAAAAACTTAATAACTTATGATCCCAAAGAGGTCGAGACAATCATTCAGGTTGCATTGCTCTGCACCCAAAGTTCACAGGAAGATCGTCCAAAGATGGCAGAAATTGTAAGCATGCTGCAAGGGGTGGGTTTGTCGGAGAGATGGGCCGAGTGGGAGCAGCTTGAAGAAGTAAGAAATCAAGAATTTTCCCTCATGTCTCACCAATTTGCTTGGGCCGAAGAATCCACACATGACCAACAAGCTATTCAGTTGTCAGAAGCAAGATAGTGAGTTTCCAATGTAATTAATGTAAAAGATAAATTGCATACCGGGGGATTACTCTAATTTTAGAGATCTGTTTCTATTTGACGTGATAATAGTAGTAGCTTATTAACAAATTTTACACGGTATTGTATCTATCCGTTTCACCACCAGCTTTCTTATTTTCAGAGTGTAGGAAGGTGATGGTTTACGCTTCTAACTTGTTCCTTTCCCTAATCATAAATCTGGTCTTGGAGGAAAAAAAAAAAGAACTTTAAACTATTTCTTGTATCTTCATTCTGTATATCTTTTCCAATTGTGCGTGCACGGATTTCGATGTTAGAGATAAGAGTGAAAAGAAGAATTGATAAAGAAATTATGGGTCTACGTCTAATATTGTCATAAAAACACAGTAGTATAGGAATCCCCAAAGTGATAAGAGACGATATTTCTTGAGAATGTATAACTTTTAATAGGTTATGTACACCACTTAGCACTCTTAATAAGTATGTAAAACCAATCTCTATCGATCATTTAATAACAAGGCTGTGCAAAAATGATTCGAGCCTTATGTATAATAATTGGCATTGTGGTTAAAGGTGCAAGTAACTGAACATGCCAAAAAAGTAGCACACCAGTTTATTTTCCTCTCGATGACATATTTTCTCAAAAAAGTAGTGGAAATTGATATTCACTTGAAACTACTATGGCCATTTGTCGTCATTCTTAATTACCAAAATATAACATATCAACATATAATTTTTTTTGTTTTTTATTACAGGGCGTTCAGACTTATACCAACTATTTCTTCGAACTCAACAACTAATTATCATGAATCAACATATAATTTTGAACGAAGTATCGGAATGTTAATGCATATGTCTATCATACAACGATTGAGTTGTTTGAAATTGAAAATGGAGGAACACAAAAGGAAACTTATGAGACACACCTTTATTCACATCAGAGATGGAGTAATCCCTATTTTAATCTACCGGTCATGCTAATTCATAGTTATGAAATATCATCTTTTAAAATACATCCATAGTAGAAGTGTATACTCTAAAAAATAAACCCCTTTATCTTTGCTACTCTACAAATTCCTCGTAACGATCAAATATATCATTATCTCTTGCCATCTTTCAGACACAATGCAACCCAAAACACCCGGTCCAACATTGAACAAATAATTTCCTCCAACCAAACCAGAAGGTGAACCCTCCAAATCTTCATTTGGTAAACCTTCAGCATCTAGTTCATCAACCAAGGAGTGCAAAAACAAAATATGAAAGAGAAAAATACTTACACAAGAAATACGTACCGGATAAAAAAGTGAGCACAATACCATCGATGATAAGCGTCCTTCTGCCCTCACAAGATGCACAAGAAGGTGAATTCATCAAGGTACTTTAGAACAAGGGCGGAGCCAGAATTTTTGTTTATCCAGGGCTAAGTTAAACATTCATATGACTAACAAAATACAAATATTTTTTAATATATTATGTGGCCCAAAAATTTTATTTTTAATGTTGGCCCAAAAATTTTGCTTTTTAATTGTAGCCCAAAAATTTTGTTTTTTAATGTTGGGCCAAAAATTTTATTTTTTAATGTTGGATCAAAAGTTTTTGTACTAGGTTTGGGTAGATAATATTGAGCTCAAATTTTTTTGTTTTAAATGGGTTAAATTTTTTAATTTTTTTGGATAAATAATGTGGACTTAATATAAATGAGGGGGACATACATAATATATTATATAAATATATAATACATATACCCTACTAATAATATTTTTTTTTTTGAGGGGGCCCTTGCCCACCCTGGTCGAACTGTCCTTCCGTCCCAGCGTAATCCTTTCTCTGTTCCAATCAAAATAGGAATAGAAAACTCTGAAAAACTCTTTCTTTCCATGATTATTGGAGCTTCAGCCTTAAAAATTTTGAAAAATTGGACTAATGATTAGTAATTTAATGAGCTGATAATAGCCTGATAATTTTTTTTTTTTTAACTCTGAGCCCACCACAACCTACTAATGAATCCCTCCCTGCTTCAGAACGAAATCGGCTTGGTCCCCACTCCCACTCATTAGATTGAAAGAGATCTCGTTACTTGACTGACCAACCAGCTTTGACTCAGGCCTAAACCCAAAGTGACTGAATTAGCAAGCCGTTTTGCGGTTATGACTGATTTGCCTTCTGCGGTTGTAAATGAAGAAAGCTGAATGTGGCTATAAAACTGATTCTCTCCGAGTTCCCAATTGCCCATTTCAAGTGAACATCTTTTTGGCCGGACTTCTTATATATGATATCGCCTTGAGAATGAAAGAAACATAGAAAAGTCACTTTTGATAGAAGTTTAAATGTTCAATTAAATTAATAAATTTAAAAGTGACTTTCTGTATACCTACCAGTCATTTACAACAAAATTATATTAATGAAAATTAAAAGTTATGTAATGTGTTAAGAAATATAGGATTATTTTATTTATTAAGGATATAATAGTTTTTTATTTTCCCTACCTTGTTTAGCTTATATATAGTCTCTTTGCATCTTTTACTTTCCCTATCTTGTTTAGCTTATAGATAGTCTCTTTGTATCTTTTACTTTCTCTACCTTGTTTAGCTTATATATAGTCTCTTTGTATTTAGATTAAATTATTCCCTTGTATTCAATTAAAATTATGTAGTATTAATAAAACCCTAGTCTCCTCTCTTTCTTATCTCTTGTATGTCTTTAGATTGTTCAACATGGTATCAGAGCAAAGTTTAATGAGACAAGGGTTAATCTCAAACACAGTTTATGCGGATCCAACTTTTTGAAGAAGGTATTTTTTTTGTTTAAGCAATCTGGTATTTATTCCGTTTTTTGGCAATCTGGTATTTGTTCTGTTTTTTTTGGCAATCTGATATTTGTTCTGTTTTTGCAATCTGGTATTGGTTCCCTTTTTGCAATCTGGTTTTCTTTGGTTGTTGATTATGGCTATTGCAAGAGACGATTCGCTTCAGTCTGTGAGTGAGAAGTTGGATGGAAAGAATTATTCGTATTGGAGTTATGTGATGAGAAATTTTCTTAAGGGTAAAAAGCTATGGGGATATGTTAGTGGAACTTCTGTGAAACCTAAGAATACTGATGCAGGTTATTCTGATTTGATAGATGTCTGGGAAGTGGACAATGCAAAAATTATTACTTGGATCAACAATTCTGTTGAGCATTCTATAGGTACGCAGTTGGCAAAGTATGAGACAGCAAAGGAGGTTTGGGATCATCTGCAAAGGTTATTCACTCAATCAAATTTTGCAAAGCAGTATCAATTGGAGCATGACATACGAGCTCTTCAACAGAAGAATATGAGTATTTAGGAATTTTATTCTGCTATGACAGATCTTTGGGATCAATTGACTCTTACAAAATTTGCTGAATTAAAGGCATGTGGTGCCTATATTGCTTGTAGAGAGCAGCAACGGTTGGTACAATTTTTGATGGCACTTCGTAGTGATTTTGAAGGACTTAGAGGTTCAATTTTGCATCGTTCTCCACTTCTTTCTGTTGACTCAGTTGTTAGTGAGTTATTGGTTGAAGAGATACGTCTTAAGTCTTATTATGACAAGGGAATTCTTTCTACTACTGATCCTTCTGTGCTAGCAGTACCTTCTAAACCATTCTCTCATAATCAGAATAAGCCTTACACAAGACCTGCCTTCGATGAGTGCAGTTTCTGTAAGCAGAAAGGTCATTGGAAGGCTCAATGTCCTAAGTTAAGACAACAGAATCAATCGCAACAGCAATCTCAAGCTTGGAAGTCTGGCAACCAGTCACAATCTAATGCTTCTAGACTACCTCAGGGTTACAAACCACCACAGTCTAATACTGCAGCAATAGTTTCATCAGATCCTTTCATCGATTCTAGTACCTTGGCTGAGCAATTTCAGAAGTTTCTCTCCTTACAGCCACAAGCTATGTCTGCTTCTTCTTCAGGAGGTCAGTTGCCTCATAGTTCTCCAAGTATGTCACATTTCGTATGGGTCTTGGATTCTGGTGCCTCACATCGTATGTCTCCAGATTCTTCATCTTTTGCTTTTGCATCTCCTTCATCTTCTATTCCTGTTATGACTGCTGATGACACTCCTATGCCTTTAACAGGCGTTGGTTCTGTTGTCACACCTCACTTGTCTCTCCCTAATGTTTATCATATTCCAAAACTCACATTAAATCTTGCTTCTTTTGGTTAGTTATGTGATTCTGAAAATTTAGTCACATTTTCCTCTTCTTCTTGTTATGTGCAGGATCTGCAGTCTCAGAAGCTGATTGGGACAGACCATAGGAAAGGAGGACTACATATTTTGGATGAGTTAAAAGTGTTAGTTACTGCTGCTGCTACTAGTGTTGATTTATCTTCTTTTCGTTTGAGTCTTTCTTCTTCTAGCTTTTATTTATAGCATTCTCGTTTAGGTCATGTTTCTTCTTCTCGTTTGAGATTTTGGCCTCCATAGGGGCTTTAGAAAATTTGAAAATTTGTGATATTTCTGATTGTAGTGGATGTAAACTGGCAAAATTTTCAGCTTTACCTTTTAATCGAAATATTTCTGTTTCTTCTTCTCTATTTGATTTGATTCATTCTGATATATGGGGACCTTCTCATGTTACCACAAAAGGAGGATCTCGATATTATGTTTCTTTTATTGATGATTATACTCGTTATTGTTGGATTTATTTAATGAAACATCGTTCTAAATTCTTTGAGATATATACAGCCTTTCGAGCTCTTGTCAAAACTCAATATTCTGCTATTATCAAATATTTTAGGTGTGATTTGGGTGGGGAATACACTTCTAATAAATTTGTTGAGTTACTTGCCTTAGATGAAACTATTTACCAAACTTCGTGTACAGATACTCCTGAGCAAAATGGTGTTGATGAAAGAAAACATAGGCACATTGTTAAAACTGCTCGTTCTCTCTTGTTGTCTTCTTCTGTTCCTAGTGAGTTTTGGGGTGAAGCTGTTCTTACTGCTATAGGTTTGATTAATACAAT